GGGTGGGTGTGGGGGGGGGGGAGGTGTATGCGCGCGCGCACATATATGTATCTTGTATGTATGTATGTATGTATGTAGTATGTAGTAATATGTATAAACATATTTCTTTTTCGTTTAATCTAAAAATTTAACTTTTTCTTGGTGTGTGCTGATTTTTTTACAGTATACCAGCTATTTCTCCGTCTTACAACATTTAGTCTAGTCATTGAATATTAAGACGTCATTAACGTGCAATTGTACGAACGTTGAACGTTTTTACATATATACAATTCACGATCACGTTTTAAACGTACAATATGCGCGTACATGCAACTCGATGCATTGGCATGGTATTTTATTAGCATATGCGCAAAATGATATCCGGTTTCACTTATCAAGTTCCAAAGCAGCGTACTGATCCTCATCCACTTCGGTCATCATTAAATTTCCGTCCGGTAACAACAGCACTACCCTTCTAGTTCCTCCTAAAAGGGGAAAAAAAATCAGAGATTGGATGAAAATATTAAATATTTCATTCTTTCTATATACAAAAAGTTTCGATAATTTTGTTATTACCAGTATACACTGTTTATATTTCACATTAGGAGCAATGTAAACAAAAATTTCAGAATCTTTACTTGAAAATACAAAGAACGCAACCAAGTGAACATTATTATTATTATTACCTGGAGTGGGTTCTTCAGCTTGCACCACCTGAGCTATAACGGACTGTCCTTCGTTATGTCCATCGTTGTCTTCTTGGTTTCCACTTACATCGGATGCATTTGTGTTATCCATTATAGACATAACCATTGAATTTTCCGTTGGTTCTGCTCCATCTTCCTTTACATAAAACTGGGGCGTGAGATTTACTTGATCGGGGATCAACTGCGCTACAGCCTCAGCTACCGCATGATCCAACGTCAAGACTGATCCGTCATCTCCTTGTTGCTCGGTAGTGACATATACACATTGCTGCTCACCATCGGCGCCATGCGTCACAAGGAGGGTCTGTCCATCCTCGGCTTGGCTCGCGACTTGATAGACGACGCCATGTTCGGCTATAGTAACTAGATTGGATGCATCATTCGTCGTTATTTTTTTCTCCTCCGGTATCTTTTCCCCAGCCTTGACATCCGCCGTTGTCATTGACATAGTAACGGTAGATGTCGCCGGAACTGTCGACAATACCGTAGTAATGGATGTTTCAGCGGAACTAGAAATGACGGTCTCTGTCAAAGATGTTGCTGTGGACACAGGCTGTGGAGCGGCGGTCACTACTACTGTAGAAGCGGTATCGTCCAAGCAAGGTAAATCTGGCGCAGATATCGTTACATTTGACAGATTAATCTGTGCTGTTTCACTGTCTTGGACAATGGTGCCGGTCGTTCCACCTGGACTCATCTCTACTCTCATAATACCACCGCTTTCAGTGAGCGAGTCAAGAGAAGGTAAGACCAATTCGGCGGTGGCATTGGTAGAGGCAGCTGCAGTAACGGTGGTCGTGGTTGTAGTGGGAGTGATAGTACTGGTATTGGCGTTGGCGACGACAGTCGTGGCTAGATCTGCTGACGTAGTTTCGGACGTGTTAGTGACCGTTTTTGTTATAGCCGAATTTGTTATTACTTCACTAGTTTCAGGTTCATCTGGTTGTTCAATCGGTTCACCATCTGGACCAATTATGCGTCCCGTGAGAGGGCATAATGTAAATGGACGCGGTGGACTGTCAGGCTCTGGAGCCGTAATAGCATCCGGCTCGGGAGCAGGGGGAAGATCCGATTCATCTTCACTACTACTCTCTTCCGAACCAACTTCGTGAAATTCCATGTGAAGTCCATCACCTTCCGCTAATTTGCTTTCCTTCGGAGGCTTGGTTCCTGTCTGACCTATCGAAGGCGTTTCGGTACTTATTTTCGCTCTACCTCGTCCCGCAACGGTACGAGCACCTGCCAAAAGTCCACGACCACCTGGTTTTATGCCTGCTGCTTCTTGGGCCTTTCTCTTTACCATTAATAACTTTTGTTGCGGAGATAATAATGATGATTGTGCCTTACCTATTGGTGTCTTCGAAGATTGTTTTGTTTGTTGTGATGATGGTGTTGGTGGTTGTTGTGATTGTACTGGATTGGTACCAGTTTTGATTACCTGTTTGGACTGTGGAGATGTTGTGAGTACAGTGAATTTTGGCCTAATTTGTGTAACCGTGCCGGTCACTGTGACAACCGGTGAAACGGTCTGTTGCGTACTTACGACCGTCGTCGTACGCTTTTGCAACACTGGACGCGTCACTTGCGCTTGAATCTGTCTCGGTGCAGGTGCTCTGACGGGCGTACGAATTGTACCAAGAACGCTCGTTGTTGCTGTCGGACGTAATGACGGTCTAGGTAGCAAAGGACGACCATCTACCGTTCGCTGAGGCGTGACAGGGGTAGATCTTACACCTGTAGGTATTCTTGGTTGCAAAGTTATCGGTGTTGGCACTGCAGCCACAACATGTATCTGTTGTAATTGCGACGGATCCGGTTTCGGCTGTATCTTTATAGGCTCGCTCTTCTGCACGTTACTCATTTTCGGTGTAACGGCCTTGGTGACCACCTTCATCTGCGTTACCACTTGGCTTCCATCCATTTTCGAAACGACTTTCACAGGAGTCATCGAATTGGACTGCGACGTCGAGATTACTTGTTTTTTTATTACGTTTGTATTATCTCGATTTTGAACCATTACAACACCTTGCGTCGAAGATCCTTTAACCGCTAGTTTCCCACTGGGAGATGAATTCAATTTGATGATACCATCTTTTCGCGACATAACGTAGAGACCGGAAGCCAAATTCGGCATTTGTTTGGGATCGACTTTAACGACTCCCTTGGCACTAGCCACTAAAACAGGCGGTTGGCTAGATTTCGCTCCATCTGGAGATTGCAATCCTAATGATGTTGCTAGATCAGTGGATGAAACCGAGGTTCTGTTGGATCCATTTGACTGCGCATTAGCGCGATTGAATGCACGTTGGATCACGTCGCTACGGCCTAATAGTCTTTCGTCTTCAGATTCCCCAGTCCATTCGTCATCACTGCCTGTGTCACCTTTCGTTCTCTTTGCGGCACTGCTCCCTCCTTCTTCCGAATCGCTCTCTGAATCATCGATCCTCCTTTTACCTAACACTACAAATTTACACGTACAAATATTAATTCAAATGGCGTATATTTAATATGTCATTCAATATGTTATTTAATACACGTTTAATATATTAAATATGTCGATTGCAAAATTAACTATCTGTCACGTGCACAAGTAATTTAAATACATACGTTCATTCTCTTCATCTTTCATCGAACCACACCATTGCTTGACTTGATCCATCGCTTTTGATTTACTAGACCGCATCGGGCGTCTACGTATACGCAACAATTAGCAAATTCGCATTGAACATCAGTGATTTATAAAAATATAAAAATGTTTCGTAATTACACTTTTTAATTAAAAACTAGCCAAATTGCTCACCCTACTTGAGCCGCAGTACTTGGTCCAGGCTGACTAGTCTCAGCTTTTATCACTGATTTTTGCAACGGCAAACTCACACGTCCGACGACTTTTGTATTAGCATGCTGTTGCGCTGCTTTAGACTCCTTTTGCTTGGCGAGACTCCGCTCAAATTCGTCCAATAAACTTTTGCAAGCTGCTACAGCCTCTGCAGATTCCCATGTATTGTTTTCACTATAAATTTGAAATATTTCAGACTGTTAGAATTATTAGAAAAAGAAAAAAAAGATACATGTACGATTAATACAAAATACCCACTGTGGATAGCCTTCCCATTTGATTAAATATTCCGAGCATCTCTTTTTAGTATTAAAACGTTTAGCTAGTATTTTATCGACAATATATTCTTCGTTACTTAAGTTTGCATCTTCTTCGGTAGTTGCTTTGCCAGACTTGATCTACAAAAATATTAAAATAAATAAAAGCAGATTCTGAACATGTACTTTGTTAAACAAGTCAATCAACTAGTGTAATACTTTGGGTTTGATCGATGGTTTCAGTCTTGGTTTTTCCTTCTTGTCTACTTCAATTTCCATAGATTCAATCTTTTGCGTTTTTGTTTCCAGTGATTTCGCAGAATCTTTTTTAGCTTCGCCTGTTTCTTCCGGTTGTCCATTTCTGACAACTTTACGAACTATTATCGGTTTGGCACCTGTGAAACAGCCAATATCAAGGTTAATCTTGAGAATAAAAGTAATATTTTGTTTTATGTTCTACAAGTTTTTATTTATAAAAAAGAAAAAAAAAGAAAAAACCAGTCACCTTCAACATTGGTATTTGATTGCATCAGAGTATCCTGCATCTTTGCGTTACTAATTTTTGTAAAGGTTTGTATAGTTTTTCCTGCTGTGACCCAAGCCTCCTTCACTTTCGTATCCATCTTACACCATTTCTGGTACAATGTCCACGCGTTAGATGCCTCCTTGTCTGAACTGTCTTGGACTTGTGTATCCTTCCATAATAGAAACGCCCATACTTGTGCTTTTTGTCCATTCTAAAAATATCAAAGGAACATTTCAAATAAGCAATTTTTTACAATCTGTGTAATATGTATGTGCTGTATACATATCTAGAGATACAAACATCATTGGTGTCACGAATACGTGACGTTTTGGAGCAGGCACCCTCCTTTGTGCGATGTTCTTGAAATTCTTCGACAAAATGAAAGACAGAATGACACTGTCCACATACCAGTACATCTAATCGTCCCATTTCTTCTTGCGCTGCTGGTGAAGTAGAAAAGTAATTGAAAGCGAAACACAAGCGATATTTAAAGTGTGAAATATTTATTATGTTATCTTCCGCAAAATAAAATCACACCTTAACTCTTTAAGTGTGAAAAAGGTGAAACACAAAAAAAAACAAATCAAATACGATTTCTAAATGAGATAGAAAATACATAAAAATGTAATAATCAACGTAACGATTACCTTTAATAACAGTGGGTTTATTACCGATGGCTGAAGGGCCATCATCTCCCTCCATTCTGTATACGATTCTCGTCTCGCGATCCCTTTTCTAAAAATTAAATAAGAATATCGTTAAACAGTAAAGACCATCACACATACAAAAATTTTTAAATGTGAGATCACAATTTTGTGATTGATCAATTTGCTTAAGATCTTACGATTACAATTTTTGTACATGTAATGATCTTTACGGCAAGAAGAATAAGGAATTTCTATTTGGTGTACATGATGGATTTTTGGAAAGAGAAGAAAAGAGACAGTGTGGGAAAAAGAAAAACGTCGGATCGAACTTTCCTGATGCGAATTAATTGAATAGAAGAATGTGTGTGTGTATGTATGTATGTATGTGTGTGTGTGTGTGTGTGTGTGTGTGTGTGTGTGTGTGTGTGTGTGTGAGAGAGAGAGGTCTGGCCTGCTTGGCGCGAAAATGGGAGCGGGGTACGTTTACCCTACATGTAAAGTTAAAATTTCGCGTTCGGCGACGAGAAAATCGAAGCGTAGCGCAAGGACGAAGAACGCCGGCGATCACGAATATCTACTTTCTTTTTTTTTTTCTCAAGGCATTTTCGCGCTCCTATCACGTCGATTCGCATGCACACTCGTGATCTACAGAATCGCCAGAAGTACTGTGGAGCTAATATGAGGAAGAATGTTCAAGACCGTCGTTACTCTACATTTAAATGAAATGTGTGTGTGTGTGTGTGTGTGTGTGTGCGCGCGTGCGTGCGCGCGTGTGTGTATACGTTGAAATGAAAGCGTGGAGACTGGGCGTGCGGCACTGAGCACTGTAAGATACAAGGCGATTGTAAACGGGGCCAGTGACGATTGCCGCGAATGTGTGAATTATGGACAACACTCGCGCCGAACGTTGACTTTGTGACAATTGTGACTCGCCGCGCAATTGTTCCCGCGCCACGAGGGTATGGACTGGTATGGACGCCGCGCGCAGCCTTATCTCATGTCTCGTGTTAATAACGAACGAGACAACTATTTTTCGATCGTAAGATTCGAGAGACCGGTGTCATTGGCGCCGGTATAATTGGCGCCGTTTTCTTTATCGTCGTCACCGTTTTTGTTTGCGTCGTTGTCGCTGTTACCGCGTTGTAGTCGTAGTCGTAGTAGTCGTCGTCGTCGTCGCCGCTGCCGCGGTTGTGGTTGGTCGTCGATGCGAGCTCGTCGTCTCTCCACTGTCTCTCACGAACAAGCCGATGCTCGTCAAAGATGGCTCTCGTCACCGATCTGTACTTTTGTACAAACTACTCACTTCCTGTCTTTACATGAACGTTTTCTGAACACTTGACGAAATCTCAGATCGCGATTAACGTTGCAGTCGCGAAAGCGAATCAACGATGCTCACTTACATACGGTGAAATTGACGAACGGCTGGATTTTCCTTAGTTCGGAAAATGGCTCGTTGTCGCACAAGACTGGACGAAAACAGCAACCATGAGCGATCGCGTCGGCCGATAGTGGCGCCCTCAGCGCCATGGTGGCTGATGCCTGATGGCGGCCGCCCGGCACACACCCCTCTCCCCCCCCCCCATCTGTCCTCTTTTTTCTTCGTCTCATGGTTTATATCCATTATCCAGTCAGATCAGACGTTTTATCGTATGTTACGTTACGTTACGTTATACTTACTCACTTACTCGACAATCCTGGCCTGGCATTCCCGGCATGCTACGGCATGCTCCGAGCTCCGAGTGCTCCGACCAGCTCCGACTTGCCCGCGATCCGCACCCACGATGCACCGCGATCAATCGCGAACAATCGCAATATCGCGATCCGTAATCTTCCTGCCCTTTCCTTTCTCAACTTTTCTCATTCTTTCCCCAAACCCACCACGATTCGTCTCGACCTATCCGGAACGCGGATTTTCGCGGGTAACCTATCAAATCTATGCTCTGAAACTTTGGATTTTACCCAGGCATATCCTGGCGTTCCTGGGCATCCCTGGGCGTCCCTGGCGTCCCAACAAACTATCCAACCAACTCAAGTACTGTTGGATTGAGTTGGAAACAATCGGAACGGTTTTCCGGTCACTTTTCAATTTCAACCTTTCTCTTTATTCTTTGAAAATGAAATATACTCTTTGCTCCGTTCTCAACTCGTCGTAAATTCTCCTTGTGGGGTGTTGGCGTTAGAATTTAGATTGATGCAACTCCACATTCCATCAATTGTAAAGTAACTATACGATGTTTTACCGGTTCATGTGCAATATTCGGTGCGTGAGATGCGTCGCTTTTACATTTCAAATTTTCTAGCTTAATTTTCCATTTTTCATTCCCAGAATCGAATTTTTACAAATCTTTGTCTTGTTTTAACCTCTCACGCGAGATTCACCGTTCTCTGTACTTTTACTTTCTCTTGTTCATCTTCCTTTTTTTCTTTCAACATCTCATGTCATTTCATTTCCAATGCAAAGACGACTGTAACATAGCACGGTGACGAAATTATCGCCTTACTTTTCTTATCACGTAGAATCTGATGATAGTGGATGCTTTCCATTGTGATGACACAAGTCACAAGTCGACACAACTCTGAATTTCAACAAGGATAAAATGACGCTTGTGTTGACTTGTGTCGATTTGTGTTATCGCAATGGTAAGCACCAGTATAATCTTCAAAGATTTGTGCGAGTTTGTGCAATATAAAGTGAACAAATATTTTTTTCAAGTGAGTCAAATACATTGAAGTACATAGGACACCATACATACACACGTACCATATACTTACATGCACATAGTTTTTAAGATGTTCTTATCGTTTGCTTTTTATTGTTCTAATAATATTTTTTTATTATACATAGAATATATTTTATCTAGATAATGGCAGAAGAAGAATTTGAAGAAAAGGAGTACCGTTGGGAAACTGGTTATGAAAAAACATGGTATGGATTTTGTGTTGTTTATACATTCATGTATATTTAATATAGTATTCTGATCTAGATAACAATTATATCCATCTAGTCAATGCAATAATATAACAACCAATTCTTGATAATTGTATATCTATTTGGAATCTATAGGGAAGCAATTAAGGAAGATGACCATGGTCTGTTGGAAGCTTCTGTCGCAGATATTATTCATAATGCCAAGAGAAAACGTCAATTGGAAAGAAAACAGGGTGCCAGATTAGGAATGATGAGGCATCTTTATATCATTTTAGATGCTTCGGAGTCAATGTCGAATCAAGATTTGAAACCAACTCGTTTTCTGTGTTCTCTAAAGGTACAATGAAAGAATATATGTATTATTTGTGCATTCTTTCTCCTGTGTACAGAATATCCACAAATGGGATCAAAGCAATGTTAATAAGGTTGAGTTGATGAGAAAAGTTCATAAAAATTTATGTCTGAAAAAGTTTTATTACAAAAATTACAAAGATTCAAAGATTTACAAGCAGAACAGAATTGCTTTCTATAATTTGTTATGTGAGTCATGTGATTATATACATAATACACATTCCACTTTATTTTGGAGAGAATGAGTTTTTTAACAACAATTCCCTTGGATCAGTGATTGGCTATGGACTAATTTCGTCTCTTAGCTCATAATCAATTTTTGATTCCTTTTGACTTTTATTTACGAGATTGTACGCAAAACTGTTGATTTATGGGAATCTTATTGAAACAAAAAGCTTTGAGAATGTATTTAAAATGCGCATTTAAGTACTGTTATTTTTTATGAAGTAGAAATATTTGAAAAAGTCATTAATTGGATGAATGCAAGCTTGCATGTTTTGCAGAGGGAAAACTTTTCAAATATTTATTATTCTAACAGTTGATTTAATCCATAGACATGTAAAATTATTCTTATTCAATGATTCTGTACAAGTCATAAAAAACGAATCTGTTTGTAAATCTTTGAATGTTTATGCTTTTTAATGAAGTATTTTTGGAATAAGTTTATATATGTATTTTTTTCTATTCAATCTCATTAACATGCTATCTAAGTTTGGACCCAACCTTTGCGGACATCCTGTATATACGCATAATTTAAAATATTGAGTTGTCCGGAAAGTTCCGATTTTGAAGGAAAATTGAAACGCAGAAGATTTAAATTTTAATATACATTTATTAAATTATATAGGTTAGTCGGCACGAACTTTTCGGACAATATTATAATGTATAATATAATAATGTATTATACAGGGTGTTCAAAGAAGGTCGGAATCTCGGATTTACTCGGAAGGATGTCGTTTTTAAAAGAAATGTTTCAGACAAAAGTTGCAAGGTATAAAAAGATCTTTTCAAACAGATCTTATCAATTTAATCTTGGGTGCCATCGCCAAGATCAACATTAAATTGATTTTTTTAAATGGAACACTTTATTTTTGATGCCAAAATCTAATACTGATGTCAAGAGTTTTTTTAAAACACTTTTTTTTTTATATAAAAATGAATTTTTAATATAAAAACGAAAATAAGAGGAATCTCTAATAGCCTTGATCTTAATAAATATTAGAGTTTTAGCCGTCGGTCAGACACCTTGCGTAATGCTAATGCCGGCGGTATTGTAACTTTCAAGCCTTATATCTCGAAAATATTTAATGAAAAATAACTTTATTATAGTATTTTGAAAAGCTCTTGACACCAGCTATTCTGGTATCAAAAATAGGATGTCCCATTAAAAAAAAAATCGAGTTAATCTTGACTTAACTTTGGCGATGCCACCCAAGGTCAAACTAATAAAATCTGTAAAGAGATCTTTTTATATCTTACAACTTTTGTCTAAAATGCTTCTTCCAAAAACGTCACCCTCTCGAAGAAATACGGGGTCTTGACCATTTTTGAACATCCTGT